CCGCTCTTTGATCCAACGTGTACCCAAGGGTCCCATTTTAAACTTGGAAGCATTTTCAAGATGCAGGGTAGCGTGCCTTGCATGTTTAGTTAAGAGCCTTAAAAGCAGCAGTAGCTCACATGGCTCTTGCCTCCAAAAAAGAAGACAGTTTAAAAATTATTTAAAAGTTCTGGCTCTGGATTATGTCAGGCTTCTCTTTCAAAGGGCAGGAAACATTTGCGGTACAAACTTTTAGGTAGTTGATAATTCCAGGGTTTTCATCGCATTTCATGAAAACAGCGCTTCTGGGGCAGAAGGCCGAACAGAAAATGCTATTTGTTGTCTGTCTTCAGATGCTAAAGGGCTGTGGGTTGCTTGGGGCAAATATGACAGCAAATGCAGGTGTTTTGAATTGGAGTTATAGTGCAAAAAAAAATTGTTCTTGTGGTAGGGCCAGTTCTCCATGGGGTGCTTTCTGTTGACTTGAATGAGATCAATATTAAACAAATGGGGAGAGATGTTGAAAGTCCTGCTCGTGCAGGTGGAAGTCGGTGGCTTCAGTGGGGGCCAAACGAGGCCTTTAGAAAACTCCCTTTTGAGCTAAGGTCCAGGTCCTGCAGGAGTTCATGAAGCATGCCCATTGACTTCATTGGGAGCACAGCTAGGTGTACAAACCTGTAGAAATATCTGAGGACCGAGTTGGACAGATACACGACAATTTCTTGTTATACGCTGGATTTTTCATGCTGAATTCCTATGGCATTTTTCTTTTATAATTGTATCATGTCTCAGTGGCTTGAAGCAGAGTATATACTTGTAAAAAACCCAAACCTTCTTGCTTTTGCATACACGAAGTGTAAACACTAGAGTGATATAACCGTAGGTATTATTGACTTCCATTCTCTAACAATCATAGGCAATTTCACAGAGTGTAGATAAGCTTACTGCCCTGCCTATAACTGTAAAGATGAATTACCATAAGCATAACTTTCATATAGATCTCTCCTGACCTTAAGCTGAGTATAGGAAAAGCGAGATGGATTGAAAACAGAATGCGTTAAGATATTTGGTGCAGTTCCTAGAGTCGGGTATTTGGTGACTGACAGATAAAGGTATTTTACTTTTTAAAGAGCTGTGGAAGCAAAATTGCACTTCTTGACATGAAAAATGCCTTATTGAAATACAAATATTTGAGCAATACAGAATGACTGTATTTTGTATTTTACCTCATTTTTTTTTTTACAAAGGAAAAAAAATGTATAAAAGAAGACTAAGCTAGTAAATGTGTCAGGGTTTTGTTTTTTTGTTTTGTTTTTTTTTAAATCTCTAAGAACAAGGAGAACTTGTAAGTATGAAACGTGCATAAATATACGTGCTTTGAGATTATATAAAGAGAGAGTATTAGTAAAGAACATGTGTTTGTAAGTTGTCTTTGATCACCGTCTGTCAGGTTCTCGGGGCCTGGCGTTTGTCGAGAAGGAAAATGTCACTGTGTGGACCAAAGCAGAGGGACTGGCTGAGCCCCTTGGTGGCAGATCTGAACATCTGGGACTGACTTGCCAATGGTGCACGTGCTTACATTGGCTACTCTATAGTCTGGTACTTTGTCTGGCAGAGGGGACTATGGGGATACTGTCCTGGGGCCTCCTTCCATGAAGACTTGTGTATATGCTTGTGGGTGCAACGGCACACGTTGTGGATAGCGTTGGTGACGTGGATGGCAATATGCGGTGTGTAAATGTAAGCACATGCACATCCTGGGGGTCATAAACAGTGGCTGCTGTTACTGCTCTGAAGATCCAGTTCAGCCACATACTTTGAACCGGGGTGGCTACTAACTTGGGACTTGACCCAGCTGACAAACCCAATAAACCATCCCAAATTAGCCATCTTGAGCAGCTCTGGGTTTTAATATTGATACTTAACACATGGGGAGACTTTTTCTGCCCTGAAGGCCTTGTTTAGTCAAGAGGAATATAGCACGGACATTGCTGACCTTTCTGACTCTCTCTCTTAAATTTTAAAAGAAATTTGGCAATAGGTTGAGGCTGGGTGGGATTGGAAGAAGCTTCTGTCAGAAACAACGTAACCAGGAACCCAATTCTTGGGCAATATTTGGATGATGGTAGGGATTTGGTTCAGCTGATCTTTTTAGTATCTTTGGTTTGAGACAGAGGGAGAGTGAGACTTCGGTCTGGTTGGGAATCTGATTTAGAGGAATCCAAGACGCCCCAAACCTATCTTTATTTTTACCAGGCTCGAGCATTGGGCCACATTATGCAGGGACTTTGTTCCTGGATACTCATTGTGATATTTGTCTCCACAATATTGTAATGGATTTTGCTTCACACTTGGTTGGGTTACTCTCCCTGTGAGCAGCATGGTGGCATCTGCAATATAAAGTGAAGATTGATGTTGCCAATCTTATAAGTTTCCAAACTTGCAGTGACCAGTATCTAATGTAAATCGAGATCGGGGTTTGCAATAAAGAGTCACTTATGGATTCACACTCTCTGGCTTCCCATTCTGCTTTTATTCCAACGTTCAACATGTCTTTTTTTAAGTCCTATTAGCTGAATGCCGTGGAAGACTGGTACGGGTAAGGTGTGATTTGTGGCAAGAAGAGCAATGGCATGTCGACGTAATTCATCTGAAGAACATAATCGTAAATATTAAAGTGATTAGGCTTTAAACCTAATTAAACAAGAATAATAATGGGTGCTTTCTACCATTAATCATTCAAGTTTCATCATGAATGGAAAAATTAAAGGTTTGAAATGTACCTTCAGATGCACTTGGTGTGAGAGGAGCTGAAGACAACGTTTTGCTAGTGAGACAGCTGTTGGTCTACCCAGAAGGATGCAACGTGTGAAGAAAGAGGAAGGTGCTATAGATTTATTTTTTTTCCCCAGGATTTTATAGTTCATATTTAAATTCCAATATGACTCATCACTGAGAACTTATTTAAACTCATGCCAACATGAACATTTTTATCTTAGCTCCTTTGGACACACTTGTATTATAGAGGAGCGTCTTTTCTCCCTAACCTGAAAACACTGGCTGTCAGATACTCATGTGGTGCTCAGCTCTGGAGCATCTCAGGCCATTTGTAGACATGCTCATCATTTTCTAAACCACATTAACTGTGTGATTTGCCTCACACAGTTTGAATCAAATTGCAATTTGAATTAAGGGTTAATAGATGAGCAAGGGGGTTGGCCCCCTTCCTTATAGACTAGTAGCCTCTACGCTTGGGCATGGCTGGAGGTTTAGTCAGGACACTGATTTTAGTCACTGTAAGGTGGGGTTGGCACATTTGACTTTGTAAAGGCTGAGGAGGAGGCAGGGGGGATAGCTTTGGTTGCGTTGCAAAAACCCAACTTTGCAATGCTTATCTGGATTTTACAGAATGCTTATCTGAGCTCTCAAGGACTATTTTTCCTAAAAGCTACACCGTATATACACACATTTAATTAATACAGTTTCAATCGCCTAATTTGGACTGCCCGAGTCTGCATTAACTTCCGTGCTTGTTCAACACGGATTGGTTAATTCAGATTGGAGCCAATTTTAATTTGGAGTACAGATGTCCACGTGTATATAGTAGTCCAGATTAAACTTAGAAAAACGTAATGTCTATAAATTGCCTCAGTTTCTTGGTGGCGAATGGGTTTTACTCCAAGGGTGTCCTCTATAAGGTGGGAACTGGAGCCCGAGTAGATCTCGGTGAGACACGTTTACACAAGACATCTGAGGCTGAGCTGTAATTTGGACTCTGCGCTCCTGAATCTCAGCCCGTTGCTTCTGACAACAGGCCACCTTTGTACACTTTCTCCAAGGCAGTTAGAGGACGGCTGTTGTAGTGGTTAGGACAGGTGCTTGGGACACGGGAGACCCAGGTTTATCTCCTGTGTGACTTCTGGCCATGTCTACAGCATGAGGAGGAGCACGGCTATGAAAACACGCTACTCCCCCGTACCCCAATCACTGTATACTCCGTCATGCATCTGCTCATTGGTCTGAGGTAGACCTTGCTTACTTGTCCAGACATGTGAATGTAGACAGGTGCAGTCAGAGGGAGCAGGAGCAGATCCCTGATCCCCTACAGAACCTGGGATCCAGCAAGCTGCTGCTTGGCATCTGGTTTGATCAGGCAAAGTAGGAAAGAGATGTTCATGTTTTGCACATGCAGCCTTGACTGTTTGGTACCAGAAACATCCAGGGTTTTACAAAGGTGTAGTTGCAGGCGAGGCTTCACCCCCTGCTTCCAGCCTGCCCCCCCACCCTGCCTCTGACCAGGGTGGACAGGTCACATCTTAGGAGCGGCAGCTGGAGACTTAAGTCCCAAAGGTAAGAGAGAATTTCCCTTGCCCTCCTGTCCCCTCCTATGTCCCCCTCCCCTGCCTGTCACTGGTGGGGTCTGCAATGTCCCCCTCGAGTCAAGCTGTACAGGGACTGCACTCACCTGGACTGAGGCATGGGACCATGCCTGCTGCTGTTGCTGCAGTCCTGGGCTGAGCCCACCCCTGTGAAGGTGGAACAAGACAGGACCTCTCCTTGCCCTGGGACAGCAGCAGTGGCAGGCCAGGGAAGGGAATGGGAGGAAAGGGGACGTGCCTTTGAACGTGGAGGGATAGAGGGGGGAATTTTTACCTCTTTTAGGACTTAAGTCGCTGGTCCTGCGGCATGGTAAGAAAGGGGTACAGACGCACCAGGGCACACCTGGATCCACCTCTGCCATCTGCCCCGGGCTGGCCCAGTCCAGAGTCAGCTCAGCTCCTAGTTCAGTTTAGTCCTTTATGCTATTGGCCTGAATCCATCTCAAACCAAAGTATACCAGACACCACACCGCCTACCTCGGTGCCCTTATTGCACCAAGTCTTCAGCTGTTTCTCCTTTAACTGCCAGCCAACTCCTTCAGCACTATTTCTGACTCATGGGAAAGATGCTGGCTTCTCTGGCACCCAGACCTCACCCTTGGCTCTAAGGTGCTTTCAAGCAACAAACTCCAGGAGCTGGTAGCATCCCTGTGGGCTGGGATGCATGTGTCGGTCATCAGCATAGGGATGACTGCAAGCCATGAACAGGTGACATCAGGGAGAAAGTGTATAGGAGACAGAGACAGCCAAGAACAGAGCCCTGGCAGCTCCCAGAGATGCACTGGGGAGTTGCAAAGGAAAAGATGCAAGAACTGTCCAGAGGAAAGGAGGATCCTGACAATGGGGCTGTGAGGACAAGGTCTAGAAGATGGAGGACTGGCCCAGTCTAAACACTGCAGCAAGGTGAAAGGGAAGGAGAATGGAGTTG